AAGTAATATTATTGCAAGAACGATAATGTTCGATGATTATATTCAATGTTTGTGCAGTGAAATTGAAATGACGTGTGAACAGTCTCGAATAACTTCGAAATTGCATAACGTCTATACCATGACAGAAAGAAAACTTGCTCTAAGCCCATATGACGACAAGCGATATATTATACCTAATTCCACACGTACACTACCTTGGGGACATTATCGAATACCGTTGTAAATATTATATAATTTATTTTTTCTTGAAAAAAATGTTACTTTTTTACAATACATTATTTTTGTTTATCCACGAATTATGTGTATTATTCAATCCTAGCCATTTCACATAGACCTTATCCGCCTTTTTACGCAACACTTTTTCTACTAGATATACGTCTGGATCGGCAACGCGATGCAATTTATACTCGTAAAATCCGCCGGCAATAGGTCTTCCACAGGAATCTTGCAGCAAATAAGTTGCTGGATTAGTTGCTTGCACTTTGATTATCTTGAACACCTCTGTAGTCGAGTTCGGCGTATAGCCTTTTTCGAAAACAGTTTTAAATTTGCTCACACGCACGTGATCGCCAACCTTGAATCGTGTTGAACCAGCAATCTTGATGTTACTATACACAGTGTCCAAGAGTTGTGCAACGTTCGTAGATTTTACGTCACGCGGTCGCATACCTATGGTTCTATGCTTTCTCATATTATATTCTTCTAGCAATCACGGTAGCGCATTGAGCCATTTGTACGATCCATTATGTAAACATTTTCCACATATTGTTCTTTAATGTACGATTGAATCGTTCTCTTTTTATTATCGAGTGTGACGAATAATGATTAATACCATATTTCCTCAAGACTCTTTGCACCTCAATATTGTAAAATTCTTTTCCCTGATCAGTTTGCAAATCTTTTGGGTATCGATTCTGAAATATTTTTGTGAAAGCCTTAGATACCTCAACCCCACTTTTAGTCTTAAGCGGTACAGCCCATGCACACTTGGAGAACAAATCGATAATAGTCAGTATGTACTTGTTACCACCATTTTTGCGCGCGTGAGGTTGCATTTCGACGAGGACTGCCCGGTGGATTATGTGTCGGTTGTTCAACCGTGCGGACCCCAATCGCTGGTGAATACAGCATCCATAGAGTGCGACCTGCACGGCGAAGGATACCTCGATTCCCTTCGGGTATCCGCGAACATTCAACCGACGGCTGTCTCCTGGGGTTCCTAGAGAGGACATACGTGAAGGAGCAGCCCCCGTATTCGTGAAGTGAACGAATACGGGACATGCTTGTTCCAGGTAACCCTGCACTTTATTCTGCATCTCACCACTCCACGGGTCTCAGCCCGGCTGATAGAATTCGGTTCCGCATAGTGCTGAGACTTGAGGTCCTACAGAGGCCACCACTCTTACACAGTGCAACGAGGCGGTGAGCAGTAGCAGCAGAACACCGTTCGTTGAGTAATCAACGCATACGGTTCCGGTCTCTTTTCGGAGTAATTCGAAAGACCGATGCGGAGTGCGAAAAGCCTCTGGAAAATACAGTCCACTGAGCACGCTGTTGAACTGATTCACCTTGCGGCTCTAACATTGCCGTTAGCCCATATTTGTTCACTTGTGTTCCTACAGCGATCACGAGCACCGACGTCAGGATCGAGGCAGCAGACGTCGGCGTTAAGTAGACGAGGAGCTGCATTGGAAAACGTCGAAGATCGCTCCAGTCGGATACAACGGACGGACGCTGTAATTCCCGGCCCTCCCGGCAAAGGAGGGAATCTCCGGCGGACAACAACAGAGAACTTAATTTGAATAAACCAGGTTTCAATCCTGTTTAATTTTCTAATTCGGTTCATGTTTGAGATGTGCCGAGTTTAATTGCTGATTTCCGGATAGGATGTTGTGAGTTCGCGATAAAATAATTGAGCACGTTGTGATGTTTAAAGCGCGTTTAATATATAAAAAAGGAAATCACATTTACAGAAGTCGGTTGATTAAATATAATGAGTGAACACGCGTCGCAGAGTTTAACCCGAGTTTTGCCAAACGTGATTGATTCACGTGATTGTTCCAATGATGATCACGATGTTATTGATCGTGGGGGGAAATCCTCATGGACACCCACGCAGAAAGATCAGGGAGCCTTGGCTCCAAGTGCTGACCGCGTGGGTAGTGCCGGACTCTTACCGTCTAAAAACCCCCCGGTGACTCCTTGAAAGCGCCACGGGAAGGGTTCGAGACCCCTTTCGGATTGCTCCGAATCCTTCCCGCGCTTTTTTCCTAAGAAAACTCCTTTTAATTCCTCAAACCCTGAAAGAAAAAGGAAAGATGCATACCTTAGTTATTACTCCTCAAACCGTAAGGGAGGGTTTCATACTTATTTGTTCTTCGAGCAGAATCACTTGCTCGAAGTCTTCGTACCTCTACTCCCTATGAACTTAGGTGTTCACGGGTTCATTCCTCTCCCGGCTTGTGTACGATTCGGAACGTTGCGTCATTCTTTTTTGTCGACATGTTTGTTCACTATGTGGACAAATATGTAGCTCATGTATTATATAGTGCCGTGATTGTCAATTCGGTAAAACTGAAAATACGTGATCATTCCCCTGTTAGTACAGGTAAGTATACGCTGTCATTCGTCCATTCGTCCATACAATTACATAAATACGCGTTCTTTTGTGTTATCCATTCATACATTAACAGTTCTGGTTGGTAAGAATTACTGATGTGTCATGTACGACTGTATTTCCGTGTACAGCTGTACATCGCATGTGCGGGTGCTTCTTAATGGATCGGCGCAAGCGCAAGGTTTGTTTGTGCCGGTTGAGTTCCAATATGTCGCGGACTGACATGTGCGTGTCGTGATCCGCGTGTAATTCTTTTGTTTGTCCTTTTAGATTATTTGGTGTGTTTCGGCAAA